AACTTAAGAACGGTGTTGTTTTGGAAGTTTTTTGTAGTTCATGTATTTCGTCTATGTTTTTAACTAAAATGAGAATATCGTCTACATATCTGAGGTAGTGGCACTAAATATCTTATTTTCAAGGTTAGCCATGTAGAAGTTACTAAATGTTGGTCCTGGAAATGAACCCATGGAAACTCCATCACGTTGTACGTGGATATTATGTTGAGGGAACCTCAATAGTAAAAGTCAAGAGTAGCTTCCGTAATATATATATATATATATATATAATAAAAAATATAGTTTTAAGGTATGCTATATTTATGGGTAAAGTGCTCAGTATCAGGGATAGAGCGCATGTAAATATAAATATAAATATTTATAGATTATTTATTTAAAGATTCTTATATATCAAGTACAATTTTAATGGGAAGAAGTATGACCCAGAGGAAAAAGTTTTCGATTTATGCGTTTTTTCCTTATGGACTTCATCAAACTTGACGTTTATGCGACTACACAGACACACAAATAATAAACACTGGAGATTTTTTTTTCTTTAATAGCCAATTTCATTTTGTTACTTTTTTCTTTTTGTTTATGTTTCCATCACTTATGTTATTAAATATCCCACATTGTGATAATATAAAATCTTCCAAGAATGGTGAAATGTTGCATGAACCAGGACTGTGGATTTACTGTGGATGATCTAACGATTAAAGCACTTTCTAAAATTTTTCGTCTTAGTGAATTGTTGTCTCTTTTAATTAGAATAGCATTTTTTTTATAAAAGTTGTTTTCAGTCTCGTAAAAGTGTGCAATTAATGCATTTAATGTGTTGTTTTGTAAAAGATCCCTTTTGTGTTCATATAATCTTTTATTTAGTTTCCTTGACGTTTCTCCTATGTTTGCATGGTGGCAATTATTACAGGTAAAATGTAAATTCCTACTTCAAGTTTTAGCGTATTATTTTGTTTTGCATTAAGTTTGTTAATTGTTTTAGACGTAGTTGTGACAAATTTTATGTTGAGTTTAGATAAATTCTTTACAGTTGTAGCTGTGATAAAGTAAAATATTTTTTGATTCGCTGGGTTTGTTAGAAAGATCCTTTTTTCTACTTTCAAATATTTTATGAGACATTTGTTTTGCCTTGAATGTGAAATAGGGTATTGGAGGAACTTGAAAGCATTTTCAGTGTAATTTTCCTCTTCATGTAAATACTGAGGGTTGCATATTCTGAGTGCTCATAGGTAGAATCCGATTATTTTCTTTTGTTGTTATGATGTGAATAGAAATTCATATCATTTTTATGAGTTAATTTTTTATGAGTTGGTATATATATATATATATATATATATATATATATATATATATATATATGAATTACAAAAAATGAAACTCAATTGTACCCCATTTTGATGGCCATTTCACACCCTCCGGGATAATTTCCTTGGGGTTTGTCAATGCTAAAACGTTTGTTTAACCACAATTGAGTTTCATTTTATGTAATTCATTTACATGCTCTATAATAAATATATTGAGCTTTGTTTTGTGGATTAGTTTTAATATTCTATATTATTAGAATTTACTTGGATTACTTAGCCACGGATTCTTACCTACATATATATATATATATATATATATATATATATATATATATATATATATATATATATGCAGAAATTAAAAAGCAAGTATTCATCCAAACAAGTTTGATTAAAAAAGAACCGACGAAATCTATTTAATTTTTTCTTTTTTTTTCTTTTTTTCAAATTTTTAGATAAGGTTTTGAGTATTGCGTTCGAATTTGTAGATAAACTGTCCGAAGTTCATTTGCTACCTCCGTCATTTTCATGAACCAATGTGGGAACTGCATTTTAAGCAGAATTCTTGTGTCTACATCCTGGTATTCTTTGGAAAGTTCCAACTACGGTGACGTTTTTTCATTGCAGATAAACATAAAGTTTAATACAATTCTTCTTCCTATCGTTTTCAGAATAAAAGATTTATCAGCTTAGTCGTGTAAATATTAAGAAGATTATGTTGCGTCGGTTTTCTTAGAAGAGACGCGATTTCATATTCTGGTTTTTACTTGGGTCTCAAGCCAACGACTGGTGAGAATTATACATCAAAATCACCCACCAAGAAGGTGAGCAGGTAACAGAGACAAAGTTTTCTATGACACGAAACCAAAATAGGGACAGGAAGATTGTGATAAGACAATCTTCCAAGTGGAGAAGTTCTACTTGTCTTGATAACCAATATTTGAAAGTATTTTACTTGTGCTTGAATATCAATCCATAACGCTGGTGAGGAATATCCAATTACCTCCGGAGTTAGGGTTCTAGCTATGAGAATATAGTTAACCCCCAAACTGGAGTCAAAGTATAAACATTTTTATAGTAAAAATACCAGCAATACATTCTCATAGTAACAAATATTACAAATATTTGTAAAAAAAAAAATTACCAGCACTACATTTTTGTTAAAGAAATTACTAATTCTCCCAAGAGAATTAAATTTCGGCATTAAATGACACATAAGGAGTTGATATGACTCTAAACAAACAAGTAAAAAACACACCCAATTACCTCAGTCACCAATTTGATCCACGACGTGTGGGTGGCGTAGCAGTTATCGTCATGGAGAACAGAGTCGGTGAGCAGGGTTCAAATTCCACCCTGACGTTTGCCCTAGTACCCGTGAGAAAAGGCATAAATCTAGCTCTTCTCTCACCAGTTGGGGTCAAATAGCAAGGTAGACTGGACTGCCTAGTCTTGGATGGTAGTCAGTTTAAAAGAACGGACCAGCATGATTTCAAAGCCGTAGAGAAAACAAGAATCCACAGATAACAAACAAAAGGAAACTTTAGTGGATTTACGTCCTAAAAGGACTTGGCATTAAAAGTGATTCATTTAAAAGCGGATGACTAATGGTTAAAACAAAATGGAAACGGTGAGTCGAGTTCAAATTACAGCTAAGACTGTTTGTATTTAATTTACACTATTACCTGTGAGAAAAGCATGAATCCACTCGTTTTCTATGTAGTAGTCAACAAGGCAGACTGAATTCTTCAGACGTCTTGATTCTAGGACAACTTTGAATTCAAAACTGTGAAGAAGGCAATGGGATGCCACTATCTCTCCTAGGAACAAACATGGAAATGCGAATTTTACAGATATTAAAAAAGATGTTGTAAAGATCCATGATCTCTTATACACTAGAGCAGTGTTTGTCAACCAATGCGCCCTGAAAGGTAACCAGGTATGTCCTAAATTAACATAGTAATTTATGGATGACAAGAGTTAGCTGAAAAGTTTATAGGCTGACCAAAATACTTTCATAAAATGTGACCAAATGAAGTTTATTTTTCAATATATTTCCCTTTGCGGTCTATACGCTTCTTCTGACGGTTTTGCTGTGCCTGGATCCCATTTGTGAAAAAGCTTTCATCCTGCTGATCAAAAAAGTCGTTAGCATCAGATATGACATCATCATCACTGCAATACTTGTTCCCAGCCAAGTGTTTTTCATGTTGGGGAACAGATAATAGTCAGTTGAAGCCAAATCAGAATCAAAGGGAGGGTGATCAACCAGTCCGAAGCCACAGTCACCCATAGCAGCCATTGAAACCAAGCATTGTCTTGATGAAACATGGCCCGTTTCATCAGTTTTCCTGGGCATTTGGTCTTGATAGCCTTTTATAACTGTCTCAGCAAGTTGGCATAGTACTCTCCATAGATGGGATGGCCCTTTTGAAGATAGTCAATAAACAGAATACCTTTTGCATCACAAGAAACTGAGGCCATCATAATCCCTGCAGAGGAAATGAAATTGGCTTTCTTTGGAGCAGGTGAGGAAAGATGTTTCCACTGCATGGATTACTCTTTGTCATTGGCTCAATCTTATTTTTAGTACTGCTCAGTTATTGCTCACTTTGTTTCCACAGAATTCAAGTACACACTGCCCAGTCCAGGGATTCAAATCATAATTACTATGTCACCAAATTTACAAACCAATGCTTTAATTCACTAGGCCATTGTCCCATAATGTCCTGTTCATCTGAACCTAGCAAGTTACTTTTGAACAGTACTCTTAGCTATGGTACCATTGCTATATCCAGAAAATATTTTATATGAAGGATTTAATACTGACTTATTTCACAAGAGAAGGTAGGATAAGAGATCATTTAAATTTAATTACTGAAGGTGTTTTTAATTTGCTTATAACAAAACCCCTTTCATCAGTTTTCCTGGACATTTGGTTTTGATAGCATTTTATAACAGCTTCAGCAAATTGGCATAGTACACTCCATTGATGGTGTGACCCTTTTGAAAATAATCATCACAAAAATTCTGAGTCCAACAATTGCACCCTGAAGTAAAAAAAAATCACTGCTCTAGAGAGATTTGGTATTTGATGAGAGTTGTTTTTATCTGACGACTGCGAGGTGTAAATAATTGTCAAGTATTAATCGATTGGAAAGATTGTCTATCGAATGTTCATACCTTTAACTTTCATGTTGAAAAATCACATTTTTATGACTCTTGGAGAAGGAACTTTCTCGAAGTGACAATCACTGCTTTAAACATAGCATTTCGGACCACAACGACGTTGTGATAATTAGTGATTCAGATACAATTAATCGGATTATCAGTGTCGGATTGATGAGATTAAAACGAATTAAAACAGCTTAATAACAAGAAAATGGCATTGATGAAAATTTCTGTCGGTCATCCGAGAAAAACATGAGATCTCTTGTCATGAAACTTTTCAATGAATACAACTTAGTCCTTGTTTCAATATGGGACTTTGAAAAATCCAGCGTTTTGCTGGTTCTGATGATTGTTAACTGCGGTCTACAAAGTCCCTGACTAAAATTTATTTTATATATCAACATGCTGTCTTCTGTTCTCAGTATAATATTATAATTTTGCATGTCCTCCCGCCATATTAGTATGACCACAACGTGCCTTACTCATTGCCATTACGTCACCTCTTGTATTAACCGGACACTCAAGATTCCAGAACCTGGTATTTCCAAGCGGTTATCCATCCAGGTACTGACCAGGCTCGACGTTGCTTAACTTCAGTGATCAGACGAGAACCAACATATAATAAACAAAAGTAAACTATGGTGAGCTTTCATCCTAAAAGGATATGACACTAAAAGTTATTCATTTAGAAGCAGATGACTAATGGTTAAAGCAAAATGAAAATGGCGATCCGATATATATATATATATATATATATATATATATATATATATATATATATATATATATATATATATATATATATATATAAAATAAAATTTGCAGACAGTACTATTTCGACTAATAGATATCGGATTGAGGAAACGAAGTGCCGAGTTCGAATTCAGTCTAATCTATTACATTCACTTACGTGCTAATAACCTTGGGAAACGTATGAATCCTCTTCTTCTCCCTCTATGGGTAAATATCAGGACAGACCTGGTTCTATAGCCTTGGATGGCAACTGGTCTACCGCAGAAAGAAATGGCAACCTACTGCAGTCATGTATCGAAAGATCACGCATGACTGTTTCGCAGCTCTTGCGACTACACGGCCTCCATCCAGGATCGACACCCGACCGATTTACTGTCAGTCGGAATTTCTACCCCTAAGTTATCAGCACCCGGCAAAGAGAATTCTATCATGTTATTTTTACGAATGTAAACAAACAACAGTCAGCCAGAGTGCTCATAAATGTGTTTGGTTAAATAATTTAGACGTATTATGCCTACTTATTTTAGTTTTAATCATTTCATGTTCACGAATTAATTTCTTGGTGACTGTAGAAAATTGATTAAGAAATATTTCAAAATTTTCTTTCAAATAATTTTTATTTTTCCAAGTATTTTCAATCTCATCTGAGACCATCTTCAGGCTTTACATATCTGTGGATGCGTTATGCGTTAATACCGTAAATTCAAAATATTTTTTACCTCAAGGTGATTTTTTTTTAATCTTTTAATTGTAGTAATTTAATTTAGTATTTTTTATATAACTATTTGCAGTTACAAACATTTTAGAACTTTGTTGCTATACTCCTAGTTGACTTTATTTATTTTTGGCTACAATTCTCTCTTTCTCTCTCTTTCTCTCTCTTTCTCTCTGTCTCTCTCTTTTAAGTTTATAATATTATCTTGATGAAGCACTGGTGTATTTTCGGCTAATATCTGTCTAAACTGTGAATATGAACATGAGCGTTCCTTTAAATGGACTGAGATTGAATTATGATCGTTCAAGTGAAACGTAAAACTTCTCGTTATCGTCATTGTTGTAAAACCAGCATACGTATTAACATTTTTATCAGAGTTGCAATCTCCCAAATGACATTTAAATTGAAATACGATATTGGTCTTTTGTAAGACGCTAGTTGACTGAGAAGAAGTTGGTTGTATTAAATTTAGTATAGGATGTAATTAATTTTATTTTTTTACTTGGATCAGTGTCGGATATAGTAGCGTTTATGAGTCATTTTAGATATTTTCCTCCAAGTTAGAATGCATTTGATTGTGGTATAGTAGTTTGAGTTATTAGAGGACATATTATGTTCATTTATATTTATGTTAATATTCTCAATATCTCGTCTAATTTGTTCTTCCAGAATGTAATTAGGAAAGTCATTATTAATAAGGATTTGTTTAATATTATTTAATTCAGTATAGAAAATCTTTCTTATTGAAGAGTTTGCTTTTGCACGGGTTATCAAGTTTCTAATTTATAATAATCAATTTTCTGTAGCCACCAAGAAATTAATTCGTGAAAGAATTATTAGCCAACGCGTTTCGTCCCATGTGGACTTTTTCAAGGCAAAAAACGAAATGAATTGATTGAAAACAAAGTAACTATTAACAACAAACAAAATGTCCTTAGGGGCTAGAAGAATTTAGAAAATTTAGAAAACGCTATTGTATTCATATTGTCAACTGAAAATTACGTAACGTGTAGAAATATTATGTTTTTGTTGTTGTTGTCTTGACGGATCCAACCATTTTCTTTTAATTTTTTGATATAGTTGTGTACCTAGACTTGAGGGAGTAGTAATTATGTTAGGAAAAGTGATATTAGGAAAAAAACTTGGGCGTAGATTAATATTTGGATAATATTCAATGGCGGCACTCTCGAGGATTTTCCTTCTGAATGAGTTATTTTCCTTTTTATGAGTGTAGCAATTTTAAAATCAAAATTGTGGTTGAATTTATTTTTATGTATGACTAGTGCATTAGTTAAGTGATATAATCAGATACTTAAACACCAATAATATTTCTGAAGCAGACATTTGTAAAATAAATTGCCAAAACTGTGCTTCCCAATATATTGGAGAAACAAGCAGAAATTTAATAAAAAATGTATCTATGAGCACAAAAGAGACGTAACAAAAACAACTATTGCACTAGTGATACATAAAAATATATTATCTATAAAACATTATGTAATAGAGAAAGTAGGTGTATACGAGTGTTTAAGTTTTTTTGTTTGTTTTTTTTTTTTTGTGAACATGCAACAAACTCACAGAACCTGGAAATTAGAATCAAAGAAAGCAATATTCAGTCTGACCCCCTTCCAAAGTATTTCAAGAATGAGAAAACATCATAACACTGATTTTGAGAACTCGAACGAGCTGATAACTTTCAGCATCCATTTGTATGTATAAGACGATTACATTCGCTGCACCAAAATCCGTAATGGTACTCGTGCGATAGTTTATAGTCATTGATAGCTTGAACTATACTAGTTGGACTCTTGGTATCTGACGTGTTTAATTGAATGATATAATAATTAGAAACTCCCTGGGCGATGATATGTCCTCTGTCATTACTTAGAATGCCGACAGTTCCTAACTTCTAACTAGGCTTGATGCTGCTCAACTTCGATAATCGAACGAAAATCAGTGCCTTTAGTGTCATTTAACCGTAAGCGCATCTATATTTACACGTGTCTGTATATATATATATATATATATATATATATATATATATATATATATATATATGATTTAAATTAATTGATTTAAAATATTTTTTCCGCTACACAGTTCTAACCATGTTTCAAAAATAGAAGCTAAAAGCCCCGAATTTAATTCGCTTGAGGATGAAATGGAACTAATGCTTTTAATTTAATTGCAAAATTAAATTCGGGGCTTTTAGCTTCTATTTTTGAAACATGGTTAGAACTGTGTAGCGGAAAAAATTATATTTTAAAACAATTAATTTATAATATTAATGCTCTGTAAATTTACATGAGCACTATTTTGTAAAAATAAAAATATCTATAAGAACACCGGATTATATATCTTACTGTTCTTTCTTTATATATACATATATATATATATATATTTGTTGTATTTAGGCCGAAAATGTTCTTTAAGTCAAATACTATTAAAAACGAGACATTTTGTGTCGATTAATTTTAATGATTCACTTTTCCAAATTACGACAAAGAAAAAATTCCTGAAGAAAAGTTCAAGAAATATGGCTAAATCTTTCGACTGTCTAAGATTTATTACTCATACAGTAATTGTGGCACAAGGCCGAAAAAAGAGGAAGAATGGTCAAGGTTAGTCATCATTAGCTATCTTATACCTAGCTAATCAGATTTACGACCCATTCATTCTTTGCAATATACTCATTCACCATAAGAATTTGTCACCATTCATTCCTTCATACACCAAAATACTTTACACACATTTGACACCTTCTGGGGAAAAACCACGCACTGGGTTAAAAATCTCAATATATACAATTGTGTATAATATATATATATATATATATATATATATATATATATATATATATATACACACTGTGTGCCAAATTATTATCAAGATAACTTTTTTCTAATATTTCAAAAACTGACCAATCAATTCACACTAAATTTTCACACAATGTTAATAATAACGATAATAATGTGGCACGCAGTGTATATATATTATCAATTAAATGATTGTCGGGCGATGATGTCCCCGGAAAAGAAAGAATGATTTTAGTTGGACACATCCTACAAAATTAAGAGTGACCGCTGTATTCTGTCTTCAGACAAAATCAAGAGGCTCTCTCGCTAAGAGAGAGAGAGGGGAAGGATACAAAATTATGGGCATTAGAAAATTCAAAAACTGACCCAGTCGAGATGAAAAAGAGCGGGTCAAAACAAACTGGAGAGGTTGAGAATCTCGGAAGTTGGGAACAGCACGAGAACAACACTGACTCACATTAACCAGGGAAGGGTTCCTGGGGAAACCACCCCGTTGTGAATTATGGGGTGTTAAAAAAAAGAAGAAAATCAAGGTAGAGACAATTGGTGAGTTTAGTAGAACTAGTGAGTTCTGTAACGTAGACAAAGAGTATTGCGGTGTAATCATGGTGTGACCTGTGTTTTTTCTTCTTCTCCCTTTTCTTCTTCTTCTTCTTCTTCTTCTTATTATTATTATTATTATTATTATTATTATTATTATTATTATACATGTAAGGATGCTGGTTCTTAAGTTATAATTGTTTTTTATTTATTGATGACTGTTTTTGTTGTACGAGTATTGCCTCAAGGATCTTTCTTTACTGTTTGATTTTGCTAATATTTTGGTATTTTTTGTGAGTAGCTGTCTAATGTTACTCTGATCCTTATGCTGCTTATTAATGTGTTGTATGATGGCATTATGATCTGATAGGTGGCAGGTGAGTCTTCGTGAGAATGTGGTTGTGGTATATTCTACATTTTGTATTTTTTATTTACAAAGAAACATTCTCGTAGTGGGTAAGTATATTCATTCACAACATTGGTCCCATATAGGGGGTGGGGTTGGAAGTTTGGGATATATTATTTTTAATAACTAAGTTGCTATTTTTTTAATTTTTTGTTGTAAATAATGAATAAAATGTATTTGCTTTTATCGACTGGTTTTATATGTCTATGTATGTTTTTTTACAGCTGTTTCGTAATTTGGATTAAAATAAAAACTAATCGACACAAAATGTCTGTCGTTTTTCATAGTATTTATAATATGTGCGTATGTGTGTTCTGCTTACTGGAATGAAGCGCATTCGATCGTGATATTCTTAAATACATAAATCCTTTAAGAAAGAAGTT